AAACGTGTATTGCTTTTCAACAACCTTTTAAGTTCGAAAGAAGTTATGAATGTTTCCATTATGTAGTAAAATCCTATAGTTTCGACGACTTCTCTGAAGTTGTGGGTCTGTGAATGTCCACGGGTGTCGCTGATCGCTTACTGAGGTAAGCGATCAGCGACACCTGAGGACACCTGACCCGTCAACTCGTTTGGCCCTTAGTCCATAAAATTGACCGCTTTTCTAGGAGCATCATCATGGCCCCACGCCTTTTATCCCCGAAGGGGTAGGCAAAGGTGTACATTATGCCACTGTACAATGTAATTTTTCACTATTTATGTTATGAGTCCCATGTAATAGGGGGGAGCTTATTGACATATACCGTCCGTTCTCCGTACGGAGTCCGTACGACTCCGGAATTGTGCCCGGTATATGTCAATAAGCTCCCTCCTATTACATGGGACTCATAACATAAATAGTGAGAATTTTTAAAAACCTAGTAATACTTTGCCCGACCTGGGAATTGAACCCGAGACCCCTTGCTCGGCAGTTGCACTTGCGCCCACTCGACCAACGAGGCAATCAGAACTAAGAACTTAGCTAAAAATTCAAAGTAACACATTGTGATCACATGTTGTTTATTTAATTAACCACATATAAATGGAAGGATTTATTTTACAGTCCATTTTATAGTTTTCCGATGACAGTATATCACGATTCTGTGTTTATTATGTTTGTCTAGTGGACATTATAGCTGGCCGGCATTATAGGTGGTATTATAGGTGGCATTATAGGTGGCCTGGAGGTTTAAGACGCCCACTTCTCATGCATGAGGGTGCGGGTTCGAAACCTACCAACGGCAAGTACCAATGTGACTTTTTCCGAGTTATTATGTACTTTCTAAGATTATTTAGACACCACTGACAAACGGTGAAGGAAAAACATCTTGAGGAAACCTGGACTTATAATTTCTAATTATAAGTTTGAAATCGCCAACCCGCATTGAGCAAGCGTGGTGATTAATGCTCTAACCTTCTCCGTGTGAGAAGAGGCTTTGCTCAGCAGTGGGCATTTATAGGCTGTTGATGATGAACCTCTTTATTGTATACAATTTTGTCTCAGTTGATTTAACATCGTTTAATGTTGCACCACAACAATTGAGATCTTCGGAATCTAATTACAGTTTGTTTAATGTTCTATAAAGTAAGTTCTGTTGCTGGTTTACTTCGAGGAGAAAGAAGTTCTCCGAAGTTCTTTGCGTTCAATTGAATCAGTTCAGTGAAGTTTAAATAAAGCAACAGAGATTAAAAAACGTTAAATCCTCAGGAACTGATTAAATAATCCCTTTTCTCATTAATTAGAAATGATCGAAAAAATTACTGCCTCGTTGGCCGAGTGGTCGTAAGTGCGATTGCCGGGCAAGGGGTCTCGGGTTTGATTCCCGGGTCGTGCAAAGTATTACTGGGTTTTTAAATATTATCAGTAGTAGCACGGAGTCTGGAACTGTGCCCGGTATATGGCAATAGGCTCACCCCCTATTACATGGGACTCATAACATAAATAGTGAAAAGTGGGTGTTATATTGTACAGTGGTATAATGTGCACCTTTGCCTACCCCTTCGGGGATGAAAGGCGCGATGTTATGTTAGAAATGAATTCTTAGTGAATTATAAGTCAAATCTTTATATAAGACTGAAAATACACAGGCGTATCATAGTTTTTAGGTTGTTACATACAAAATTATCATCACCTGTTAAGGTTAAATGTTAGGTAAAGGCCTCTTCTTACGTGAAGTATATATGTAATGAATATTAATAACACGGCTTCAAGTCGTATCTACATATCGTACTATAAGTATATACCTACAAAACCTTATAACAGGGTAGATGCCCAATTTTTATTTTAATGTCAGTCTGGTAGATTATTTAAAATCATTAGACACGTATTTTTTATTTTCTTACAGACACGAATACTTGACTTGACTGCACGGTTGGTGCGGTGGCTGGGCAACCGGCTGCCGTACAACGTGTTGCGGGTTCGATTCCCGCACGGAACAACACTTTGTGTGATCCACAAATTGTTGTTTCGGGTCTGGGTGTGATGTGTATGTGAACTTGTATGTTTGTAAACGCACCCACGACACAGGAGAAAATCCTAGTGTGGGGCAATGTTTAAAAAAAAAAAAAAAAAAAAAAAAAACACTTTTGACGATATATTGATTTGTAATGTCGCGTGACGTCACTTCTGTGTACATTTTATACGTAGAAATGACGTTTTAGCCAAGGGTCGGATACCGGTATATTTTTCGAAACGTTTTCGTCTTAAATGCCTAAAGAACAATTTGTTTCGTTTATGTTCGGACGGAACTTTATAAAAAACGTTTTTGAAAAACAAAAAAAATATACCGATTTCGTTTAATAAAACGTTTTTAACCGTTTTTATTGAATTTTAGTGTTGCTCGATGTTTCATGAGTATTAAATTCAATAGGCATCTCATTGCCGCGCGGTTTCGTCGTTCTTACCTATCTTCCGTTTGCTAAATTTGTAAATTTGTTTGTTAAAGCTAAGCCTAGCGTACCTAGGTACTATTGTTATTAACCCGTGCGTATACCTATTCGTAGTTAGTAAACAGTGTATAGTAGGTACAGTAAGCATGGACAGTTCAGGTGAGTACCACTACCCCATAATATGGAAATAAGTACCTACAGATCTAGAACTACTTTCTAGATTATCAATTATACTTTCTAAATTATCAATTGTATACATATATTATATTCAAGGTTTATAAAGTTAATTGCTACTTAAATAAAAATTTTCAGATGAAGAGCCTGATTTACCAGACCGCCAAACATTTTTTACTGAAATAGAGACTGATGTTATTCCAATTACTGATTTACCAGACGGCAATTTTTTTTTATTGAAATAGATGATTTCAACTCAAATTCCAGTTTAACAGACAAAAAAACCTCTCTTACTGAAAAAGAGGAGAATTGGAAAAGGTATGTTAGTAGTTATACCACCATGCTAGGCTAAAAATGCCCCTAAGCGTTTAAGTGCTGACCGCAGAAGCATTATGCTTATAGGTTTTTTAGGGTTAGCACGGCACTATAAATAGTAGTCATGTGCAACTATAAAAAGAGAAATAATTTTAAACATCATTTATTTTTTATAAATCAAAAGACATGCAAAATTAAATGAGGAAGAATCGCAATCTCTATTAGCACCGAAAAGACGTACAACAGGTAGGTGTTCTTGTCAAGACTAAACGAAGATATTTTTCCTTACGGTCAGTTTTCAAGGATGATCTTTAAAGTTCATGCTCTATTAACTGTATTCACTATTCTAGAAGTAAAAAAAGACGGCGATAACTTTAATGAAGCATTAACTTTAAATATCGTTCTAGCAGCTGACTGTTTATGTATTAGATTAATTAACAATAATAATCACATTGCATCCAACTCTTAGCTGATCCGAAGCATAAATATTATTGTGTTCATAATATAGGTAACCCTATTCGCCAAAATATAAATCGGCGGTACCCCATATGCTTGCGTGATGAAACATGATAATTTTAAGAAACATCTTGGTTGCACTTCGCAGCACCGAACTGTGATTGAACATCGATTAAAATTGTACAATGACTACAAACTTTAACAAAATACAAATCAACCTAACTTAACAAATTAAACGTTTACCTTTAAACTTATTAAATTAAATTGATTTATATTGCAGGAATACAAATAAGTCTAATTACTGTTCCGCAAAGCAAGGATACCCAGAAGCCTCAGGAGGAACCTGTTTTACCAAGTCAAAATTCAAAGCAACAAAATGAAAAATACCAGTGTGTACTGTGCAACATAACCAACAATCAGAAAGATATCAGAAATGAATATTTTGGAAAACTTATTTAGTGTGCACTGTGACGTCAAAGTGACGACACAAACAAAGAAGTGACGAGGTTTTGGTTGAAACATCGATGCTGACAAATTCGATAACTGTACTCGTGACGTAAATTTCGTTTTGACAAATGGTGATGCGTTTCATAAATTTGAATTACGCGTGCTTTTTTGCACTTTTTAATTAATATTTTATGCAATTATAAACATAAGAAAATAATGGTTGAGATATAATATCAGGACTATAAAGGTTCAAGGAAAAAAAATCAAGTAAATTTAAATCACATGCATATTCCCAATTACATAATGCTAGCTTATTGAACCTGAGACTGATAAACTTATTAGGTATCTACATAATCATGTAAATTAACATAAAGATAATGTCATAGAAAATAATATTAAATTAATCTGATTTCTCATAGATGCTGTTGTTTCTTACTAACAAGATATCATCAATTATGGAGTCTTTTAATGACATTCTTAGATTATTTAAAATAAATTTCAGCGATGAAAACAACCTTTCAACACTAACCTGCGTTGGTGGAGTAGCCAAGGCAATTGTGGATAAAGAATAAAGTTGTGGATCAGTAAACCTTTTTTCGTACCAATATTTCAAAATGTTCTCATGCGTTGGCAATAGTGGCGAATTTAAAAAATCAATCAAAGAGTTTTTTAATTGATTGCAAGCTTCTGTTGGTCGTTCTCTCTGACGTTCTCTATATCGCCTTTCAAAGAAACCATCTATATTACTCCGTGATGTGTGCGGGACATTATCTTGATTAAGATCATTTTCATCTGTTGGTCGATCCTGAGTTGTTTTTTCATACATATAACTAAATATAATGCAATAGGAGTATTCATTTGTTCTAACTCTGTAATACATTTTATCCAATAAATGTAAAAATCACCGAATGTTAATTGTTCTTCTTGCAACCGTTTGGATAGTACTCTGCACGGTTTGAGAGCCTGCAAGCTCTCTTCAATTTTGGACCATGTTTCATCTTCAATTAAGTCGAGTAATATTCTTTACAAAAGTCTTTTAGGTTAACTAGCCTGTCCAACATATCGGCAGTAGAGTCCCATCGAGTTGGACAATCCAGAATAGCTGAAGCAATTGGTGACGCTTTAATTCCAGTGCCCGTTAGGTGTACGAAGAGTTCTTACTGCACGACGACACAAGTCGAAAACGGGTTCAAGTTCTTTGCAGGCATCTCTCACAGCAAGCTGCAATGTATGTGCGGCACAACGTACAGCTGTCACAATAGGTTGGGCTATATTTTCCCTTTCGAACTCCAAACTTTCCACCAAATCAAGCATTTCCTGACCATCTGCTGGTGAAAATATAATATCAGATTCCTCAACCTGTTCTTCAGTGTTATTCAAATCATCAAGAGAATCCTGTATTTCTTCTTCAATTTGACGAGACATTGCAAGCATATTAGCGCCGTTGTCCGAGGTGATAGAATATATCTGCTGAGGCTCGATTCCGTAGCGGCTTAAAACCATCAACACTGTGTCTTTCAAGAACGCTGCAGTATTTCGTTCATGAAGCTCAACTACACATAAGTTACGAAGCTCCAGCTTCTTATCTAAAATGAACTGCAAATTTATTCCGAGGAATCTTCTTGATTTCACAGAAGCTACATCAATTTTTAAACATACCAGTTTATTTTTTAATTCCTCATAGATCTTCTTTCGTACATCGTAGGCTTTATTCTCAATACACGTTCTTATGTTTCTAATATTGGGTTTTAACCCAGGATTAGGTATCATTGTAATTAAATTTTGGAATGCCTCATCTTCTAGCATAGACAACGGCCTGCCGTGGATTGCAACTAAATTTATGCAGCATTCAAGAACTTTATTGTATTCTGTTAGGGAATTTACATTTTTATCAGAAAAAGTCCTTTCTTGAATTCTGTCATATTCAGCACGATGCTGCGTAAAAAAATGTCGTACTAAATTTCCGCCGTGATGTCCCTGGAACAATATTTTTTACAATCGTATCATATAATTTTTGATTCTACACACTCTGTACAAAATTCATTCACAATCTTCACTAAAATATTATCAATAAACAGTGTAAATAAAGGATATGAACAGCTTCTACTATGAGACCAATTTCGAAATCGCAAAAATTAAATACAGCTGATTCAGTACATGTTGCTTGTTCATTATAAGTAGTTTTTGAGAGATTTTTATGAAACAGCAGCTATTTTTTCGTGATTTCGATGTTAGTCCTAATTCCTATAGAAAAAATTGTTCATATAGGTACAAATCATGTTATGTAAACTACCTAGTCTTAAGGAGTTACAGTATACTACAAGAATCTCAAGATTGAATAATTATATAGGTACTTACTCGTATTTCTTTCTGGCATCCTTCCATTTGACATTTTGATTTGTTAGTTTCGCTATTGTAAGTGTAATACGAGTAAATTGGGTTTTTTCTTTTACGTCCCATTTAAGCAATCAATAAGCACCACTAATTATAATAGGTAGGTAACTAATTACCACTCCCGAAGTCCCAATAACAACAGTAAACACAACCTCAGTAAGCAAGCGCATCGGAATAATTGATTTATAGTTACACTGAAGCCGCGCGGCAGCATAAACAAACAAGTCCATACTTGTCGTCGCACGACTCTCGCTGCACCGTCTTGCGGATTAAACCGGTTTTTGAAAATGTTCCCATTTCGTTTTCGTTCCGAACGCAATGCAACGAACACAATACGAAGAACTGTTAGAAACGTTTAAAAAACGTTATTTTAAATAACGTTTCCGACCCTTGGTTTTAGCCCCCACTCCTAAATTTTGATTCGTTTTATCTAAGTATTGTTTAATTAAACGATGAAATAAAAAATACGTGTCTAATATTTTTTCATTACATAACTGACGGACTAATTAGATTTTTAATTTTCATACCCCGTCATCATCCCAACTCTAGATACGAAACAATCATTGATCACATTAACTTAAAAAGTTTTGTATCTTAAATGTTGGTATGCAGCATTTGTATAAGACAAATATTTGGGACGCGCGGCCATAATCCCAAAGATTGTTGTAGCGGTATAGTTCCCAAAGGGATGAGAGAGGCCTTAATCTTAACAAATATGCCTAACGTCCAAGTAGACTTGACACAATGATGGTAATAAACTTATGTAGGCAAAGGGTACTTTCCTAAAGATTTTTTGGGTAACTTTTATATTTCTGGTAGTTCTTTTGCTTATGTCATGGTGCTTTATTTGATTGCTGACTTGCATTCTAGCCATTTCTAAAGACATTTATAAAAAAATACTTATTAATATTAGGTACCTACTTTTAGAATGAGCTAATCACATAAAGTTAAAATGAATAACGTTATGACAATAATGTCAACATCCATACCTTATGTCCTTTTACTGCTGTTTAAACTTTTAATAATAATAATAATAATAATAATAAATAATCTTTATTGTACACCAATTTGAGACAGTACATCAAGGAACAAATAAAGAAAATAGGGTACAAAGGCGGCCTTATCGCTAAAAGCGATATCTACCAGGCAACCTTTGGGTGGATAGAATAATAAAGTAGGATATTAAATGAGGTAGTTATAGCTTGGCGTACTCAGTGCTTATTTATATAATGTAAAAGAGTAAACATTAAAAAACAAATTTATTTACTTTTAATATAGAATTATATACATACATACACACACATACATACATACATACATACATACATACATACATACATACATACCTACATACATTCATACATATATACATATACTAATACATACATAAGTACATTTAGAAACAAGATACAATGACAGATAGGTGACACTAGGTGAAGAAACAACAATGAACTACAGTGTGGAGAGATAATGCTCCCTCACGCGTGCCTTGAACGTGACCAGTGACTTTGCTTGTTTTATGGAAGGGGGAAGTGCATTCCACAGTCGAATAGCTCGAACTGTAAACGATTTGTCGTAGGATTTACTCTCATGCTGGGGCATCTCAAGTCTCAGATCTCCCGACGACCGTACTGGTCTAAAATGTGTGTCATGGTAGAACTTGAAACGTTCTTTAAGGTAATATGGCGTAGTAGGATTAAACAGTATATTGTAGAGAAGGGATAGGATATGAGTATTCCGGCGAAGGCGGATCGGCAGCCACTTGAGTTTAGCTCGGTATTCGGAAACGTGGTCATATTTTCGTAAGCCAAATATAAACCTTATACAGAAATTTTGGAGTCGCTCAAGTTTATCTAACTGCGCTTCAGTAAGGTCTGGATAGCTGACGTCGGCATAATCAAGAATGGGAAGGAGAAGTGATTGAGCAAGCGCAATTTTGGTAGCGGTTGGTAGAAAGTTTCGAAGTCTACGTAAAGACTTGGCTGACGCAAATATTTTCCGGCTGACCTGCCCCAGTTGCGGTCCCCAAGAAAAGTCTCGATCTATGGTAATGCCTAGATCTTTCACTGAGTCGCTGTATGGTATTATGGTACCGTTAAAAACAATAGGTGGAATCTGCGACCATGTAATTTTGCAACGTAACCGAGGGCTACCGACTACAATGACCTGGGTCTTCGCAGGGTTAACCTTTAAACCGTAAGCCGCGCTCCATTCTGAGATTCGAGCTAAGTCGGTATTCACCATTTTTACCGCCTCGGTGAATTCACCAGGAGGTGCCTGAGAGTAAATTTGCAGATCGTCAGCATACAAGTGGTAGGAAGAAAGAAGTTCATCAGAGATAGAATTTATAAAAATAGCAAAGAGTAGAGGAGAAAGAACGCCCCCCTGCGTACGCCAGCAGTCGTATCAGACCAGGAGAGTATGAACCTTCAATGGCAACACGCTGCCGGCGGCCAGACAGGTAACTACGAAAGAAATCAATCACAGCCGGCGATATGTTAAGAGAGCCCAGTATTCCAAGTAAGATATCGAAATCAACGGTGTTGAATGCATTGCTAAAATCTAGCAAGGTAAGCAGAGTTAGATTGCCGTTTTCGATACCCGATCGTATGTCGTCTGTGATGTTGACAAGTGCTGTAGTGGTACTATGCCCCGGACGGAACCCTGATTGGTAAGGATTGAGGAGACTGTGTTTGGTGAGGAAAGCACTTAGCTGGTTATAGATGAGGCGTTCCAGGACTTTAGAGAGGAAGGGTAAAATGGAAATAGGACGGTAATCGGAAAAGGAGTCTGGGTTTGGTTTTTTGGGAAGAGGAGTGATTTGTGCGTCCTTCCATGCAGAAGGAAAAATGCAGCTAGATAAGGAATAGTTAAGGATATGGCAAATGACAGGAAGGATTTCGTCCAGGACAGGGAGTATCATCTTACGGCTAACACAATCACTCCCCACCGCATTGGAACTAATGGAAACTATACTCTTCCTAACATCACAAGCTGTGAGTTGATTAAAGGAAAATTGTGAATAGTTGGGAGAAGGAAGAGAAGAAAGATAGCTTAAAGTTTTAGTTTTGATAAACCCATTAATATTGGGCGAAGAGGAAAAGTGTTTATTAAGAGATTCAAAGTCCAGGTTTCTAGTAATCCCGTCCCGACGCAGTTTCCCAACTCCCATGGATCTTAGGAATGTCCAGATCTTGGCTGCGTCGCCATTCTCTACAGATTGATGAATGTGGCGGCGTTGTGCATCCCTACACATCTTGTTGCTACGATTTCGAGCTGCAACATACTTCTCGCGGTTCACAGGATTAGGTAGGCGTTTAAATTTGGATTTCGCAGCTGCTTTCCTGTGAATTACAACCCTGATCTCTTCTGTCAGCCACGGCGCTGGTACATGTTTTATTTTAACTGGCCGTATCGGGGCATGGATGTCATACAGTTCAATGAGTTTTTTATTAAACATGCTGATTTTGTCATCAGTCCCCACGGCAGCAAAAAGTTCAGACCAGTCAATGCCGCCGGCATCCTCACGAAGCCTCTCAAGATCCATACCACCAAAATTGCGCTGAAAGAATGTTTTGGGTTTAGATTTCGGAGGACAGACTTTGTACGAGAGGAAGATAAGATATAATAATAATAATAAATAAATAAATAAATAAAATGAATAGGTAATAATATTAAAAAAAAAAATATATATAAGCTAATTATAAATAGAAAAATAAAAGTATGATAATTTATCGAACAAATAAATATCATATCCACCTGCCAGTTGCGTGTTACAAATAATGTCAAGACGCTTACCTTCACAAATCAGCAAAAAAAAAAAAAACAAACAACAATGTCTCGCCCGGGTAAAAAATCCAAGAAGTACATATTTGAAAATATAAATACCAGCCATAGTTAATAGATATCATTATAGAAATACAAATAAAAATTACAAGAATTTATGATAGATAGGAAATCGTTGGTATGTGAATTGTCTATGGTCTCATAGTCAACATATACCCGATTTGAAACGTGGAACGCAACCAATAACTTGACGTTTGACACATGTCAAATGTCAGAAACAGTAAACAATCCGGAGGTAAACATAATAATTTTGCAGAAATCGAATATCTATTTAGAATAAAATAAATAAAAGTTAAAGTTAAAAGGAATAAATGAATATTGAGGAATCAATAATATAAGTCAAGATAATAAGCGATAGAAATAAGGAAAATAAGATGTAAAGAATTAGAGGATTCTATGCTAGGGTAGAACTAAAATAATATAATACAGAAGATTGTACTTTTATAAATAGACAAAGGAAAATAAAATATGGATTTGTTACCCGAGCGAGGCAGGATCACCGGAGGAATCACTTTTTAGCAGCACCACGCGTCTTCTTCTTTGGAACCACGGCTGCAGATCGCTCAGGAACAGCCGCAGGCTCACCGAGTGCGCGAAGCTGGCTGTGGCTGACAATACGGTGCCTGACGCCATCCGATCCCAGGACGTAGATGTCACCCCTTTTCGTCCAGCAGTTCGCCACACCAAACTTATCCCGTGCCGCCACGAAGACCTGGTGTCTAATCTTTGTGAGGAATTCCGACACTGTGATACCCGACCCCTTTAATTTGGTTTTACTATACCAGACTTTGTCCCGGATATCAGCATCCTTCATCTTTACCAGTATGGGTCTGGGTTTTGATTTGTGGGCACGGCCGCCGACTCGATGACATCTACGTATGTCCAAAGCAGTGATGGTGGGCAAACTCAGCTTTTGATGGATGACGTTAGCAACCACAGATGCAGTGTCTTCACTTGTGTTCTCTGGAACTCCGTGGATCAATAAGATCTTCCTTCGACTCCTCATCTCAACTGAATCCAACTCGTCGGTAAATGAATCCATCTGCTGCTGGATACAACGAAGAGACTCAAGGGTGAACTTCTTGAAAGCCAAATACTCCGGTGGCAGACTCGGTGATGCTGAATTTTGTTGTTCAGCCTCAAAC